TTCGACTCGCTCGCCGCCCATGATTCAGAACGCATTAGTAAGCCGAACTAGTGAGTCGTTTTATTTTCTTGTAAGAACTATAAGATCGAGTTGACTGCAGCAACTCAAACCTTTGTTTATCGCGTGCGATATTTAGAAAATTATATAGTTTAATCATTTATTATTCACTTGGAATTAGCATTAATTTAATTTTAATATTCATTGTATTTTAGAAATTAAGTGAGTGTATATCTATCAATATAGATTTTAGACTAATTTATTAATAATATATTGCTTTATTCCCGTCCTGAACAATCTATCTATCTCTCATTTGTGCAAGTCTTAATTTTTTACTTACGAAGTGCTTGAACGCGTCTATAATGATAGGCGTGCTGTCCATCGTCCTTCATTACCCGTTGTGCCATACTGTACGTGCAAATGATTCCCGTAGTTTCCGTTATTATTCTAGCGACTCGACGTAAGCTGGTGGTCGGGTCCCTCTCAAACGCTTCAACTATAGGTTCATGCATCTGATTTCGAAGCTCCCTCGGTCGCCCACCATCACGGTTGGTCACGATAACGCTCCCGGTCTCCCGTAACCTTTTTATAAATAGCAACAAAAAGAGGTTAAATTCATCGTCGCTACTGATTACTATGGCAATATTCTATCTATAAAGCAACAAAATAAAAGTATACAACTAAAAACCGGCTTCGCTAGTAGCTTTTTTAATTGAATTTTGTCTTATAAAAACCTTTGCTCGGTTCTGCCGATAGTCTCGGCTGTTGGCATGTTCTCCCGAAAGTGTCCAAAACGGCGACGATATTCCCGAGCAGCCTCTTCTCGATTTCCTTCAGCCCAACCAAGACACAATACCATGTCTGTATACTCTTCAGCAGTATAATTAATACGCGGCATTTTAGATGCGCGTTGATGTAAACAAAACAACGATTGAACGATATTGACGGCATTTGAAACAAAATTAATAACGAAAAAAAAGAGCGCTTTAAGAAATTTCAGTTCGAAGCCGAATAAATTTGAATAATTTTATAATAACAACATTTTAAACGGAAATACGAAGTCCTTGACACATTAATAATTATAACATTATTATTGAAAAATTTTATTGAATTCAATAGTATTTGTTTTAGCTAATTAATCATTATTATTTCATAATCTTAAATATATTAAGTTGTACTTACTTTATTTTGCTACAATATAATGCATTAAAAAATTATAATAAGACTTTTTATAAATATTAAAAATTACCGTATGCCAATTAAAACAAAATTTGATAAATATTATAAAAATGCGACTACTTACCTCCATTTTATTCAGCAAAATATGTAACATTAATATTGCCAAAAACCAACAAATTATATTATCGATAATTAAAATCTATCGTGCACCATCTAATTTCTAACTAATGTATATTTTAAGCAAAAATCATTATTACAACTGTTAAGCTTTCACAGTCACTTGAAAATACAAAATACCAATATCACTGACTCTAAATTTGAAAAAATACCTCAATTATTTGCACTATCGCAAAGAAAGCAATGAACTGATTATAACGTCTTTGTCATTTATTATAAATATCATACTTGAATAATTTAGACTAAAATAGTTTAAGAGAGACATTTGTTCATTGATAATCAAGGAAGATTTTTGCAAAGTTTCAGATCAATTCAACAAATAATCACTGAAATAGAGCTTTTATACCAAATCCGCGCCCTGGCGGTAACAACGAAATGATGCTTACGTGGCAGCAGCATACAACGATGCCGCGAGCAAGATCGCGCGTTTGTGTTAAAAATGCTTCATTTCAGTGATTATTCAATGAATCGATCTGAAACTTTACAGAAATCTTCCTTGATTATTATTAAATAAATGTCTCACTGAAAGTTATTCTAGTCTCCAACTTATTTGCATACATATCATCGTTGAATGTACACTAAAAACATGTCACTCGAAATCGTTTACTTAAAATTAAACAAATAAATAATATTATTTCATAATTATTTTTGTATATGTTTAACGTATTTGCAAAACCATTATATGCATTTGAAAAAAATAATGAATCAATTCTAATAATACTTCAGGAAGCTAGAGCGAGTTATTTAAGAAAAAAGATATAAAAATCATATTTAAATTTATCATTTTTGATGTTTCATTTCAATTATTTTATCCTTGTAAACTTGACACGTTGCTGAATATCAAAAATGTACAAAGATAGCATTTTTTGTTCATAGGGGTTTTCAATGTTGGAAAATACATTATGAACGAGGCATTTTTTGAAAAAATCTAGCTTCTCAATGACAAAAAATAAATATAGATTAATTAATTTGGCATTACTATTATCATTATTATCATATTTCTAATATTATGAAAACGTATTTCAATTCGTTAGCATCGAAATATTATGCCACGCATGAAGGTTGAGCACCGTTTTTGTTTAGCTGTGGCGCGCTCATAGCAGTCCGTCTCACTGCTCCCCGCTGGCCGCCGAGCGCCTATACTTCCAAAGCCGCGCGCTGATTGGCCGATCTTTGACACTAATTATCTAATTACTCGATTGTCAAAAAAAAAAAATAATAATTGATTCTTAAATAACTTTTGGAGACGAATCCGGCAATACCAATTTCCTTTAATGTTTTTGAATCACCCTGTATATATATATATATATATATATATATATATATATATATATATATAAAATTTTTATTTTCCGTATTTTCTAAGTTTGTACTTAACTGAAATCGCAAGGCTATAGTTTACTTTCGGGGACCCAGGTATACAAGCCAGCCCATAACGGTGGGCATTTATAGACAAAGGAAAAAAATCAGATAAATTTTATCATAGCAATAATTTCAAATTTCCGCAATTGAAAAAAATCATCTCCTTCTTATATATTTTTACGGGCTGTGATACTACATCTGCATTTTTTAATCTTGGAAAAAATTGTATTTTACAAAAAGTCGATCACAATTCTTTAATACATTTAACGTCAATTATTTATAATTCATCTGCTGATGATATAACACTCATTAATATTGGTATAAATATTATTAAAAGCATGTATTCCAGTAATGCCGATAAAATTGTAGAAACAAAGCAAGGGCACGAATTAGCATTAAGTGAGTTACGTTTTGTACATTTCGATAGAAAAACCAGCAAATCTGCAATGAAACTAAAAAGTTTGCCGCCAACTGAAGCAGCAGCTGCCGAACATTGCAAATGGGCTTATTTGCAAATACAATCGTGGCTTGGTAATGATTTGAATCCTTTGAAGTATGGGTGGCATAAAGTCGAAAATACTTTGGAACCCACTCATTCTTCAGAGCCAATGATACCTCCCGAAGTATCAAAAAAATATCTTGTAGATGCCAAAAAGGCTGTAAAGCTGCGTGCAGCTGCCGCAAACATGGCCTCAAATGTTCTCGCTTGTGTGGATTTTGCTACGGGGATAATTGTACGAACGTAGAAGAAATACATGAATATGATCATATTGATAACGAAGAGTATAATTTAAGTAGTCTTGTAGAAGTAATGTTGAATGCAGAATGCAATGAAAACGAAATAAATGAGTCTGCACCGAAAAGAACTAGGCACGATTAGAAAATTAACGATTAAGAAATCATGTAAACTATAGCCTACGTATGCATATAAATTAAAATATTGTTATTAATAATTGAAAATATATTGATTATTATTTATCCTTATCCATATTTACGGATAGCAAGTAATAATTAATTGGAATTTATACATACACTGATATGTATGAATTCAATTAAGTTAATAATAAACGATTGGCACTAAATATAGTAATTACAACTACACCAATCTCAATAAATTTTGAAGCTACCCCAAATTAAAAAAAAATGATCAAATTTGATGCAATAGTTCGCGAGAAAAGCCTGATTTTTGCGAAGCGCGTCGATTTGAACGCGGACTTTCAGTATTTCCAAGCGCGCAATGGAGGCCCCCCACCACTGCCTCCGGCCTTTGGCTTTTCTCGTGCTGGAAATGAAACGTCATTTTAATTGTTAAAAAGCCAAAATATGTAAAGCCTTGTATCGTAATGAGAAAATATAACTTAATAACGATCGAATGCCCTTGGACCGATTTGTTAATTTTCATTATTACAACAATGGCGATTTAAACAAAACAAAAAATTATCTCGGCTCCTATTGATCGAAAAACAATTTTTTTTTCAAAATATGCACCTTGATCTCAGATATGTGAATTTCTAAAAAAGAAATCTCTATAATGCATAGGGAAGCCGCAATACTAATTGTTTATAAAAGAAAAAAGACGCACTTTTTTAAAGTAAAAATTTAGGGGTTGCAAATTAATTTTTTGATTCGTTCCCAATCATTTATTCAAATTGACGTTTTGACAAAGAGATTGAGTTGTTTTACAACTCGATATCTTCGGCCAAAAAAATTTTACAGCCCCGTACTTTGGACGTCTCTTAATTAACTAATTAGAATATATCAGTAACTAATAAAAATAAATAGTTGTGCGACAATTCATTTTTTTTAGAATCACAAGAGCTTTCTTTTAAGAGTCATAAACATTAAAAAAAGTTCTTTTTGCAATAAATATTCGATATAGTAAAAATGCCCATTTTTAAGGGTTTTTAGGGCTTTTTTCAATAACTAACAAACGAAAAAAATTGCACGACAGCTCAAATTGTAGCTTTTGCTATTGCGTACAACTTTTATACGAAACTTTTTCAGCTAAAATGCATACCGTGGCTTGCAGATTGAAAAAACCATATTTCGCCAACTTTGAGCGCTCATAAAAAAATCTGACAATAAATTAGGAGTTGCATTTTATCAAGAGTTCCTATTTACATTGTACTGAAGCGATTTTCGTCGAGAAAACCCATCCCGGAATTTTTGTCTGAAAATTTCTCTGTTGATTGGACTATACATACTGCTGATATTTCATATGTATATCACATATATGTATTAATTCTGGTGTCTAATATATGCGTAAACTTTTTATTGACCATTAGATACAGAGGAGCAGATGAAAGAAAAGCTTAAAAAAAAGTCAAGGCAACCACCAAGCAACATCCTTCAATCTGCGACTGATACAGAATCCGAAGAACCAATAACTACAACTACATCTACCAAGTCAAAGATTAAATAGACTCCAAAGAACACTGCATAAACGAATAGGCCATTTGTCCATAGGCCAATTTGTCGTAAGAGCCAAGTATGTGTCAAAATAAAAATCATTCATTTTGTTGCATCACTATGTAATTGTAATTTTTTATTAGTTGTGCGCTAATCTTATATTATTTTATTACAGGAGCAAAAGGATAAGGAGTTTGCAAAAATCATCAAAATAAAGATTGAAAAAGTTGCTCAATTGAGAAATGCTCGACAGGTAAACTAATACAATATCTTTATTTATTTATACTTTTTAGGTTTCATGTGATGTTATGAAAAAGTATTTATTAGATACTTTAAACTAATACCGTCATTTGTGTTGGACTACTGGGATAAATTGAAAATAACAAACACCTTATATTATTTAAGAATATATATATATAAGTAAAGCCGTACAAATAGTTTTCTCTAATAATATTCAACCTCTAAATGTTTTTACTAATACACTAATTCAAATGTAACACAAAGAGAACAAGAATAATTGACAGAGCTCCGAGTCGATGGACGAATGCGGTTGGAATACAGAGCACGCCAGCCTAGCAGCGCCGCACAGCGAAGACGGCGCGGCGAGCTCCCGCGCACATGCGCACAGTATTCCGAACACTCCCTCCACTGTACGCATATGCGCGTGAGCACAAGCAGCTTACTTAGGTCCGTTGGTTTCCGCGTCTGCAAATAATCAAAGACATTCTCGAGCATAGTCAGTTATTAATTATATTATCTCTAATAGCTTTAAAAGAATCGAAAGGAAGAGGCTTTGTAAATATATCTGCTAAGTTTTCTTTAGATGGTACCCAAATCAATTTAATTTTTCCTTCAGTTACGCACTGTTTAATGTAGTCACCATGTACTTTAGACAATTTATTTTTAGTTCCTGTTTTCTCTCTATTCTCTAAGCTAACAATTATTTCTTTAACTGAATCATCAAAATTCTTTAGTTTATGGTTTCCTTCTTTTTGTGTGCAGCTGATTGAGGACTTATTATCGCATCTGATAATTATAGGGCACATAGTTTTTCCTAACATGTCTCTAAGAGCTTTATCTAATGAGATCATTTCTTGACATGCTTCGCTCATTGCGTAATATTCAGCATGACAGGTCGAGAGATTGATTACACTTTGTTTGTGACTTCTCCACATAACCGAGTCTCCAAATAGTCGTGCAACCATTCCGCTTGTTGAAGATGAATCAGCATTATCTCTAAAACTTGCATCTGTAAATACTTCTAAGTTTTCAGTGACTCCTCTATATATTAGTCCTATATCAGAACTTCCTCTAAGATATCGCATTATCCTCTTTACATCAATCCAATCCTCTATGGTGGGATTTGATTGTTTTCTAGCTAGTAAATTTACAGCAAATGCAATGTCAGGTCTTGTGACATTCGCAAGATACATTAAGCTACCTATTGCTTCCCTATAAGGAAATTCTGGTTTTCCCAGTTGTTTCGCTTTCTCCATATTTTTATTGTTTCTAACCTTGACTTGTCTAGTTATCATCGGCGTGTTTTGTGGTTTGCTTTCATTCATATTGAATCTCTCTAATACCTTTTCCGTATATCTGCTTTGACTTAATATTATTTGTTTAGACTCTCTGTCTCTAGTGATTTGAATACTTAAGTATTCTTTGGGTTCTCCTAATTCTTTCATTTTAAATACAGAGCTTAGGTGTCTCTTAACTTCATTAATCTTGTTAAAATTATTCCCTGCTAAAAGTATATCATCTACATATAAGATAAGTAATATCATTACGCCATTCTTTCTGTATGTAAATAAACAGGGTTCATTTATATCTCTCTGTAAACCTAATTTTTCTACCTCAGTTGAAAACCTTTGATTCCATTTTTTTTTAGGACTTATTTTCAAACCGTATATAGCTCTATGTAATTTGCAAACTCTATTTTCTTTCGTGTGTTTATCTAACATTAATCCATCTGGTATTTCCATGTATATTTCTTCCTCTAGTTCACCGTTTAAGAATGCAGTTTTCACATCCAGTTGACATACTTCAAGATCTAATTTATTGATTATAGCGAATGCAGCTCTGATTATAGATAGCCTAGATACAGGTGCATACGTTTCTCTTAGTTCGTATTCATTGGTATCTTTAAATCCTCTAACTACTAGCCTAGCCTTAAATGTTGTTTTTCCTTCTGAGTCAATTTTTCTTTTAAGTACCCATCTACTGTCTATTATGTTGGCTTTATTGCCTTTCTGATTCATCGATGGTCTCTCTACTATACTCCATACATTATTTTCACGCATGGACTCTAATTCATCGTTTATTGCTTTAGACCAGTTCATTTTGTCTTTAGTCTCCATAGCTTCTTTATAATTAGTTGGGTCAGAGTTTAGCGTAGCCATCAAACAATAACCTTTTTCATCTTCTCCCAATGCTTCGGTTTCATTATATTGGGTTATAAAGGCAAAACTGTTATCTACTAGATTAGCTTTTCCTTCTGACATGGCTTTGTAGTCTCGTTTTATCTTGCTGTTTCGTTTAGGCTGCACTCTATTATGTTTTTCTGATATGCGATCAATCATTCTTTTTCTCTTGTTTGTTTTATCTGTCTCTAATTGTTTTCCTATGGATTCTGTGTCGTTTAATTGCTTTATGTTTTCCGAGTTACCGGCATTGAATATATCCATGGTCTCCTCTGGTGTTTCTTTATCATTGTTATTTGGAGTAGAGTTTGAATCCTTATTCCATTCTCTAGTAATTTCTTCATGTTTATCAATATTTTTATAGGTTAATTTTTCCCGGAATTTCACATGTTTGGTTAGAATTAATTTTCCGGACTGAGGATGCCATAGTATATATCCATTACTGGTTTGTCCTACTAAAATTCCTTTTATAGCCTTTTCGGATAATTTGTTTTCAGATAATGGTTTCTTAGCATAAGCTATACATCCAAAACGCCTGATCTTTTCTAAATGATTTTTCTTATTAGGGGATATCATATTCAAAGGAGTTTTGAATTCTATAGACGAATTTGGAGTTCTATTATATACATCTACAGCTACTTCCAGGGCTAAGTTCCATAAAGACTTTGGTAGTCCTGAATCTATCATTAATGATCTTAATTTTTCTAATATGGTTCTGTTGAATCTTTCAGCAGTACCATTATGGGGAGGTGTATATGGATTCGAAAAATTTGACTCTAAATTTTCCCTTTTCATGACTTCTAGAAATTCTCCTCCTGTAAATTCCCTAGCGTTATCTGCTCTTATATAGCAAGCTCTCAAATTTTTACCTGTCAAATTCCTCATGGTATTTAAATAGTTTTCTAAGCATTCTCCTGCTTCAGATTTGTTTGTTATTGCATACGTTTTGGCAAATTTTGAAAAATCGTCTATGAAAGCTATTATATATTTCTTTCGACCAGGGTAAGTAATTGTTTTAAATGGACCTATTATATCGGTGTGAGTCAGTTGAAGTGGATGATCGGCTCTGGTTCTTATTTCTTTAAAAGGTTGTTTATTCATTTTGGACATTGTGCATACTTCACAATTCTTAATATTTTCATTGAACTTTACATTGCTGAGTTCTTTATTTATCTTTTGCAATTTTAATAGGTAATCATATGATGGGTGTCCTAGTCTTACATGCCACAACATCCCTTCATCTAACTCCTCTGAATATCTTTTCTCGAGTTCGAAAGACGTGAATATATCATCCATTGGTTTTTCGTTCTTAAGATCATCTAGTGAATAATTTTCGAAGTCTCTATATTGGCTAAGTTTAGGTATAGATTCATTTGTAACTAACTCCCTCCCAACTTCTGAATCTATGTCTTTATTGTTTTCTGTTTCTGCATTTTGTGGGTCTTTTGAAATATTTTCTAGCGTTATTAACCGTGCTCTACAATAATATTTATTGTATGTTTGTCTATCCGGATTCTCTATTTTATTCTTTACTTCTAATTGTATAAGCCAGTTTGGTTTCTTATAGTACCCGGTTAGAAAAGTAGACCCGTCATTTTTATCGAATATTTTTAAATTTTTGTCATCTAGATATATACTAAATCCAGCATCGACAAATTTCCTAAGGGACATAAGGTTTTCGGATATATCAGGGGCTGCTATAACATTGGATAGTCTAATGGTATGACCTTCATTGTTTAAGCTCTTTAGGTATAAGTCTCCTTTTCCGTCTATCTCGATATCAGCCGATTTGTTTTTGTTCGCACTCTTGATATAAGTTCCTGAACTTTTCTTAAAGTTTCGCAAGATAAAAGCTTTGTTTGTAATATGTTCTGTGGCTCCGGAATCTAATAGGAAGGTTATTTTATTGTTTATTGTATCAATGTAGTTCTTACCTTCAGTAAGTGCTACTGCAGCGTTTGCCAGTTTCTGTTTATTTTTGTCTCCACTTGGGTAGTAGGTTCTGCTTGCGCCACGTTTGCCTACTCTACCGTTATTGCGACCTCTAGGGTTACGACTTTTGTTGTCTCTATTATTATCGTAATAACCTTTGCCTCTTTTACTATTACCGTTACCTCTATTATATTTTCCCCTGTTACCTCTATAATTAACTCTTCCTTTTGATTCTTTTGACTCTCTATTGTTATTATTATTATTTGCAACGTACTCTCCACCACGGTGCGACCCGTCTCCACGAGGACAGGTTCTGCCTGTGTGGTGTGCGAAATCTCTGCATATGTAGCAGAACCACAGCCCGTACTGGATCAGCGGGCAAGAGTCGGAGACGTGATCGACATTAAATCGATCACATCTAAAACACTTGCCGCCGGGACCAGCACCGGCCGTGGCTGCAGCACTCGGTCTAGCCACGTTTACTGAGGCTCCCTTTGTGGCGCCGGAACTGCGCAGATCGGCTTCGAGCTGTCGGATGAAATTTTTCATTTCTTCAAAGTTCATTCCTCTACCTTTGGTCTGTTTCGTAATTATATCCATTTCTCTAATCCGTGGATAAGTATCCTTCACAGCTTTCATAAAGGCAGACGTTTTCTCTGCG